AGATTTTTTTCTTCATATTTTTTAAGTATTGTCTAAATAATTTCAGTCTTGAAAATGGAAAAAACATCGTCCATGAAAAGAACAAAAGCAGTAATCAATGGGCAAAAAAGCAATTTTTAGTGGTGATGTGGGACCCATTTGAACGGATTTGGCACGTTTTGACCACGGTAGCATGACATGGCAAAAGTTTTTGTGCATGTCATCACTTTTTTAAATTTTGCTCTCTACATCATCAAAAAAAATATAAAAAGTGTCACATAAGCAAAGTTAACGGTCCAAATTAACAGAAGGACTAACGGAGTGCATTTCGCATAATTAAGGGATCAAAAAACTACAAAAAATTGTTGAGGGACCAAAAATGTGCAACTCACTAAAGTTAAGGGTCCAAATTTAGCATTTAACCTTTACAAATTATCTTATCTTCTCCGCCTAGCAATCTTCTCTTTTTCTTACTTTTCTCTCCCCAATCCTTTCCTCTGCAGAACCAAAGCCTAAAAATTTAACTGAAGAAACATATAGTTTTCCGGCAACCAGTGGTGGTAGCGGCTAAAGAAAAGAAAAATATAAAACAAAACTTAGTACACATATATATAAAAAGGAGAGGAAGTGTGACCTTAAAACATGCGACGGTCACCGACGATTGAGGTTGCACGCAGTGGTCGTGAAGGAGAGATATGGAGAGAGAAAGAGACAAGAGATCTTAGTAGGGCTTTGATTTTCAGATTTGTAAAGATATGAAAATAGATTGGGATTAGAGATGGATGAGATCTTGGCTGACTGTTAAAGGGAGAAAATGAGGAGAGGAAGTGAGAAAAAAGAAAGTAAAAGTGAAGTGAGAAGGAAATATGAGAGATTAAAGATGAGTATTCCATTCGAAAATTAGAGGGAATGGTTGAAAATTTCTAAATTGGGGTGGGGGGAAAGGTTTTGGCGGAGAGTTTGGAAGGTGGAGGAGGTGGGTAGATGAAAATTTGCAGAGGAGGCTGAGAGGGAATAAATGAAATTACTCAAATTAAGAGTTTCCTTTTAGAATACATATATTTTATATTTCCTTAAAAAATATTACGGGTTTTCGGGTTTATTATTCAGTTGTTCGGTTCTTGGGTTTAGAACCGAACACCGCACCGTTTGTAAGCGGTTGAGGCCCGAAACCGCTACTTGGGCTCGAAACCCGTTTGTGCCCGCACCGCAAGCCCAATTTTGGTGCGGTTGTAGGCAATGTTTTCAAACCCGAACCGGAGGTCAAACCGTTTTGACCTTCGGTTCGCGGTTTGAACGGTTCAACCGATTTAACCGGTAAAACCGTCGGCTTAGTGAAATACTATAAATATATGATTTTGCAAAAGATATTACACGGCGTTGGTGGGTTGCACTGGTAGATGGCTGATCTTCTATAAGAGAGATTCGGAGTTCAAGTCCCCCCAATAACAAACTTTAATATAATTGTGCTTGAAAGTAGAATAAGTATAGTGTAATGCATTAAAATGACAAAAGAACATTGTGTACAAGTGGAAAAACCGTTGTTCTACAACATGGAGACTAAGTGTTCGAATCTCAAGCTTGTAATCAGTAACAAGGTTAAAATCTTTTCTCTTCTCCGCCAGCCTTTTGCTCAGGAAATCTAGAGAGCAGCACACTGCTAAAGAGAAGTTGCAATTCAACTTTTCCCTTCATTGGGACTAGTTCTGCTCATTTTTTATTTGGTTTTTACAATGATTCTTTGTTGGTTTTTCTTATTTATGGTTGCCCAGAACTTATTTATGTGTAGCTAAATTTCTTGAACTAAGATTGGATGGATTTGATTTTTGGATTATTTGACTTTTTTTTTTTGTTTAATTCAAGATTTATTGGTTATTTGTGTGATGAGTTTATGTTATTGAGCTTAATGCATTGAGAGCTTGATCACCTTTCAATTGATTTAGTGATTTTTGCGTGAACTTGAGAAAGAATTGCATAAATTAGATCAATAATAATATAATTGTGTGTTAGACTATGAGACCAAGAGGTAATTAGCTCACATGTCATAATGGAGGAGGAGAAGAGAGTTAAGAGCTCCTCTTTCTTAAGCTAGAGGTTTCCATAGAATTTAATGTTCATTAGTTTGTTTAAAATTACATAGAGATAGGATTAATTTGACAACGAAGTGAAGGATTGGCTTGAGTTGAGAAAACTGATTAATTAATTGAGGAAAATCCACCATCTCATGTTATAACACTATTATTTGAACTTGAATTAAATTAATTAAATAGTTGCATAATTCATAACCAAGTGAAATCTAAACCCTAGTTCCTTCCTATTCATAGTTTCTTTTACTTCAAAAATTCTTTTTGTTTAAGTAGTTTTATTTTGGTTTAAGTACCATTTTAGTCCCTCAACTTTTCATTTTGACATCAAAATTGTTCTTCAACTTTAAAAAGTATCAAAATTATCCCTAAACTTTAAAAAGTATCAAAATTATCCCTAAACTCTTATTTTTGATACCAAAACAGTCCTTCCATCAGTTAATGACATATGTTACGTTAACTTGCCATCAAATCAATTCTTTCTTTTTTCTTAACTAATGACCGACACTTTTTTTTATGAGT